TGGTATCCTATTTAGAGCTTTTTTCCTATCTGAATCTGACTTTACTGCATATCTCTATCATTTTCTGACCACATGAGCCTTTAAACTGCTAAGAAGTGTGGCTAGAGCCAGGCGGTAGAGGTGCATGCCTTTAATCCCAGCACTCGAAAGGTAGAAGCAGGTGGATCTCTATGAGTTCGAGGCCAGCCTGGTCTAAAAGAGCTAGTTCCAGGATAGGCTTCAAGGCTACAGAGAAACCCTGTCTGGAAAAAATAATCTACTACACGCCTTGGTCTGTGAGAGACGATGAGCTCTATGTCCTACAGGCCTCTTTGAGAGTTGCATTGATTAACCAGGAACTGCATTCAATCCCCAGGTTCTGGGATGCCAGCGCCCTTGCTAAGGAAAGCATTCTTACTTAGTTTGCTGGAGTTTTGTTGTTTTAGCTTTCTCATGCCTTATGTGGAAATTCAGGCCCCACATTGGAAGGCCATTTGTCGGAATTTGTTTCTTTTTCTATCCTGTCAGACAGTTCCCAAATAACTACACAGACTTAATATTAATTATAAATGCTCAGCCAATAGCTTAGACTTATCACCAGCCAGCTCTTACAACTTAAATTAACCTCTTTATTAATCTATTAAACTATGTGATGCCCTGAGGCTCATTTACCTCATCTATGAACTTCCCACATTGTTTCTTCTGTCTGGTTTGTGACTCCCCATGACTCTGTCCTCCTCCCCACTGTTCTCTCTATACCCCAAACCCTGCCTACCTATTGGCCAATCAGTGTTTTATTAACAATGAGAGCAACATAGTGTACAGAAGGATTATTCCATAGCAGACTAGGATATCAGTGCTCTGAACTCTAATGGCTATAGTAATGACCTACATTTGGGATAGAAACTCATCTAACCACGTGTAACAGGAGGAGCAGGCTGCTTGTCATCCTGACCGCCCGGCTAGCTTACACCTGAAATAATCACACAGAAACTGTATTCATTTAAACATTGCCTGGCCCATTAGTTCTAACTTCTTATTGGCTAATTCTTACATCTTAATTTAATCCATTTCTATAAATCTGTGTGTCACCATGTGACTGTGGCTTACCGGAAAGATTCTAACCAGCATCCGTCAAGCAGGAGGTCCATGGCATCTGCCACTCTGCCCTTCTTCCCAGCATTCAGTTCTGTCTATTCCGCCTACCTAAGTTCTAGCAACTAGGCCAAGGGAGTTTCTTTATTCATTATCCAATGACAGCAACACACAAACAGAAGGAACTCCTACACCAACCACATATGAAACTTTTATAATCTTTTATAGCATCAAAGATGTCTATAAATATGAAGATCTACATTGAAATTGTTAGATGAAGAATAGATAGTTACTGGGTGAGAAACAAAATCAGAGAATGTAATTCTTTTGTATTATTCTGTAAAAATGAAAAACTTTCTTACTCCAAACAAACAAAACTTCTATATTAATCCACATTGGCAGCTTAAGAGAGTTGATTTAAAATGCATCACTACTAATAATTGGGCTTTGGTATATAACAAGTTTTTATTCTCCTTGAGGAACAGGCAAATGAGTTAAGTGTGTACATGTAAGCAGTTTCTTAGATGTGTCATCCAAAAGGTGGGGTGCTTGTCTCAGGAATTGAAGACATATATTCCCAGACTGTCTTGTGGAGTGTGTCCTGTAACTCCTTTTCTGTCCGGGCTTTCTGAGCATCCAGATCCTCACTGCAGTGTCTGCTCAGGAGACAGTGCAGACCAGGCTCCTGCAGGCCTTGAGTTCTTGTTTCTTTTTCTCCTCTATTCAACATTTATCAAAGAACTAATGGAAGCTGGTTGTGGTGGCATACACCTTTAAACCAGAATTCAGGAGGAAGCAGAGGCAGGTGTATCTCTGTGAGTTCTAGGCCAGCCTGGTCTGCAAAGTGAGTTCTAGGATGGCAAGGGCTGTTACACTCTGTCTCACCCCCCCCCAAAGAAAGTAATAATAGACAGAGTCTAGTTAATTAAAGCAGTTCACATTGGATTTGGAATTCAGCTATTGGAACCGAAACCAGTGTATTCCCTTTCTTCACTAAATGACAAAAGGTCACCTTCAAAATTACTTTTTTCTTTTTAAAGTTAGCATAAAAAGCAATTGTTTTCATTGTGAAATTTTATACATAAGTTTGTGTATATATAGCTTTTATTTACCTTTCAATGTTTTCTGCATAGCACCTCTCCTTCTCTTTCTTGTTGTGAAAAAATCTTTTTGTACACTGTGAATATGTATCACTTTGATTGGTTTAATAAAAAGGCAAATGGCCAACAGCTAGGCAGGATTTTCGGGGCAGAGGGAATGCTGGGAAGAAAAAGGTGGAGTCACAAGGAGATGCGGGGATGCAGAGCAAGCAGCATGGGCTTTACAAAATAAAGGTAGCCGAGCCATGTAAAAGAATGTAGATTAAAAGATACGGGTTAATTTAAGTTATAAGAACTAGTTAGAAACAAGCCTAAGATACTGACCAAGATTTCATAATTAATAAAACTCCACGTCATTTGGGAGCTAGCTGGTGGGACAGAAAAATCTGCCTTCTGGTTGCCTTCCTCTCAAATATTACTCTGGTTTCCTGTCACAAATCTCCCATCATTTCCTTTCGTTCCCGTCTCCCTTCAAAGACCTGCACGCCCCAGTCTCCATTCTACTCTCATGCCCTGCACACACTTGGAGGGGGATGAACTTGTCACAACAAAGGCAGACAAGTATTTGTGAAATCTGTGTGCTGAGCAGTGGGATGGGGACCTGAGATGTAAGTATGGATTCTAGCCAGAGAACTGCCCTAGCTTATGTATTGTGCTTCTCAAGCTGAATGTCTCAAAGGGCAAGTTACTGAGTGAGTTGGAATGTCAGAAATTCTTAAGGTCAGTGTCTTAGTCACCGTTGTATTGCTGTGAAACGACACCATGACCATGATAACTTATAAAGGAAAGCATTTAATTGGGGGCTTGCTTACAAAATGAGTAAAAAAAAAGGAGATGGAAAAGTTAGTTGTAATTCAGAAAGCAAGCAGGCTGAGTGAGGGTTGGTGAGCAACTGTCTTGGGGGAGAAACTTCTGGGATATTCATAAGTGTAAGTTTTGCCTCCCATCTTAACATGCCTTTAGGTTGATCATATTTTGTTACATTTCCGGAACAGATAGCTTTCTGAGGTGCATTCCCTGCCCAGAAGTTTGACAGGCCCATTTGGATTAACTGTGGAGGGGCTAATACATTTTCCTAAATTTATCTTTGCATCAATTTAGAGTATGTCTCCACCCAGTACCAGAGTTATGCCTCAGGTCCCTGAGTCAGAAAATCTTCAACTCAACATTTTTGTTAATTAAAGTAAAAAAAAATTAATAAATTAGCCATACTTTACCAGGACATTTATTGCCTTTCCTCGATGGACCACAATAAAGCCCTGCTACTCCATCCCTTTCATGTAGCATTTAAGGAATTTTCATAAGCCTCTTTTAACAGTATAATACGGTATTTTAAATATTGAGAGGCCGTTGTGATTCATCCTTCCTCCTCTTTGCATGTTAATTCTAAGAAGGATCAACTATGGTGTATTCCACCTTCTTAAAATAGTTGTGTTATTAGAGACACAGGAGGCAGGGTCCACAGGGGATTATGGTCTCCAAGCTTGTTTTCGAGCTATCAAACAAAAGGACAAGCGTTCTTACAACAAACAAAGATGCAGAAGAAAGGAAAGCAGAGGGCCCAAACCAGGTAACTATAAGCCAAGGATCGCCCGGGCCACCAGATGCTGCAGATACATGGGACATTCGTTCATTCCTTAGGGCTCCAAAGGGGGTCCCGCCCGACCAACGCCTGTATTTCAAAGCCGTTAGGCAATACGGTTCTCTTGTTCAGCATGATCAAGTTTGTTCGGTTTTCTTTTAATGTGTATGAGTATTTTGCCTCCATGTCCAAGTACACCAAGTGTGTGCGGTGTCACAAGAGGCCAGAAGGGGTCGTGAGATCCCTTGGAACCGAATTTACAGAGACCCGCCATGCAGGTGCTGGGACTCGAACCCAGGTCCTCTCCAAGAGGAGAAAATACTGAGTCTCTCTCCAGCCTCACGATTTTTGCTTTCTCGGTAGAATTGAACAATAGCGTAAATACATATCCTAAGGGGGAAGAAAAGAAAGTGTGCGAGAAAGGGTCGCGTTTGAAACTCCAAACCCCTATGGAAAGCTTTGCACGGTCACTTACTGGGCTCCGCTCTTTACACTTAGGTTGATTGCCGAGGGACTGACTAGTTTGCCCAGAGATTCAGAGAGTGGGTAATACGGGAAAGATGGGGTTTGTTAACAGGATCACACTAGAACCGACTCCGGGAGAGCTTTTATCCCTCAGGAGGAAAAAGAGACGCAGACCTACACACTCCAACACACGAGCTACGCCAACCTATCCGGGGCGGCAGAGTTAAGGGGAGACCCTCGCGAGAGCCTGAGGCTTTCCCAGAATCCGCAGGCTCAAACGTCACTTTCCCGCGCCAAGGATTGGTCTTCCCTCGGACGGATCCCTTCAAGGGCCAAACCTCGCGCAGTCCAGCATAGGAGGTGTGGCGAGGGTGGACCAATAGAAACTACGAACTTCGTATTTCCTCTCACGCTCCGTCCGTTGACCCCAAGCACCGAGGCGGAAGAACACAATCAGAGGACTCGGGGCGGGGCAAAACGCGGAAGCGGAAGCAACGGAAAGTGGCTGGCTGCGAGCTTCTGCCCCACGTGTACGGTGAGTGCTGCGGGATGAGTGTTGCAGGCTGTGCGGTGCAAGCTCCCGCCAGCCGCTCTGGAGCGGGGAGAGTTTGCGGGGTCATGGGCGAGCGGGCGAGTTCAGATCCGCCACGACGGCGGCGTTCCCGCTGGTTTTTATGGCTCGGATTTGGGGGATTGGCGGGAGCCTGGCGAGGGCAGGGGTTAAACCCTCTCAGTTACGTTGCTTAGCGCAGAACTAGGAAAACGAGCTTCGCTTTCAAACTCCGGCCGCTGCGGGTCACGGTCACCCTGCCCGTCCTGTGACAGACAGACTTTGTCCATAGGAGTAGTGCAGGAAAAACCGAAGAAGTGATCCATAAACTGAGACCTAAAGCATGATGAGAGACAAGAGTGTTTTAAGCTAGGGCTATGGGGTAAGTCCCGGAGGTCCGAGTTAGAAGTCCCGCGGACAGGATAAAGGGAAAGGTAGAAGTTTGGAGGCCATGGTGTCGTTTCTGTATTCTCGTGTAATGGGAAGCATTGTTCTTTGTGTTCCTAAGCATATACAATGTTGAAAGGTTCTTAGAAAAAGGCGAGGGGGAGGCTCGTGACAGGCCTTGATTCTCTTAAAAACAAAAAGATACTTAATTTGCAAGTTCGGTAAGGAGATTTTTGTTGGTTTGTATTGAGTATTGGTAGTGGAGATAAAGGTATTTAAGGGAATATCAAGATGATTAACACACAAAGAAGTAAATATCAGGGGCAATGCTTGGGCTTTCTCTTTGAGCAGTAAAATATATGATGGCCCATTGGCTACGGTGAGAATGGGCAGGGAGAGAAAGAGATGCGCTGCCCTAGAGGTGGTTTGCAGTGGGAATGCAGAGAATTGTGTTTTAAGTGTAAGGTGCCGGTTATGTGCAAAATCAACCAGTGTCCGGGTACACAGGGCTGTAGGTCTAGGAAGGAAAAACCTAATATGCTTGTCTTTGCATTTGGGTTAGCTAACAGTTAATTTGAAGTGAAGAAACTTGGTAAATACTGTTCTGAGTGATCAAGATTGATTAACTTCAGGAGAAAATCATGACTGCTACATTTCCTATGGTGCTGTGAGAACACAAACACTCCAAGCATAACCTCAGTCTAATGGTGAAAATCTTTTTTTTTTGTTTTGTTTTGTTTTGTTTTTTGTTTTACGAGACAAGGTTTTTCAGTAGCTTGGAGCTTGTCTTGGAACTTGCTCTGTAGACCAGGCTGGCCTTGAACATGCCTGCCTCTGCCTCTTGAGTGCTGGGATTGAAGGCATGCACCATCACTGTCTGGCCTAATAATAAATCTTAATCTTAAAGGGGACATAACCTGCAAAATACAGAGGAGGCATGATGGCTTGCTTAACTGTATGTTGGAATAGGAAGAGGACATGGATAGGAAATTGATACCCAAATAAACCTTGTTATACTAGTGTTAATTTTTTTAGTTTCATTACAATGTCATATGTTAACAAGAGGAGATGCTGGATAAATGACCTAAAGGCTCCCTATCTTTTTAACTCTTCTGTAAGACACATTGTTTTAAAATAAAATATGCAGGCTTAGTATGTAAATAAAGATATAGTTAGACACCTACATGTAAGGGCCAGTGGCACAGTTGGTTAGAATGTGGTCCCTGCATGAAACCTGCATGCAGAAATGCAAGTGTTTTATCTTGCAGAGTGATAAAGTGACTATGATTTAAAATGCCCATAGGATACTGAGTGGCTCCAGTACTGAATTTAGATACACATCACTATACCCTTTTGTGGGGTTCTGGGCATTGAACCCAGGGCAGTGTTCCAGTGGGTAGTTCATAGTAGCAAATTAAGAACTTGGAAATTCCAGGACAGGATCCAAAGCTACAGAGAAACCCTGTCTCGACCCCCCCCCCCAAAAAAAAAAAGAACTTGGAAAATCTTTTCTTACTTGCTGACTATTACTGTTTAATTTACTATTCCTCAAATATTTAACCTGGAACCCTGTTTTTTTTTCTTCCCAAGACAGTCTAGTGTCCTGAGAAATTAATCATTTTTTTTTGAAACAGTATCTTACTGTGTATCCCAGATTGGCCTCCAGTTTATGTTGCCATGGTGGCATTGAACTCACAATGATCCTTCTGCCTCAATCTCTTCAAGCTAAAATCGTAGGTGTGTGAACATATCTAGCAGGAAATTAATTCGTGAATGGAAGTGTCTAATCTGGAAACACTTTCTAGGAATTCTTGCAGTTGACCCTTATGGTCATTTAGAAGTGGGCGAGCATGTTACTTTTCAGAATGTAGACATGAGCCTGGTGGCGTTTGCCTTTGTATCCACATATGTTCTGCTTGCACAGCTTGTCAGTTGGTGAGGGCTCTTATTTTACATATGCTCAGTGAAGGCCACTGAACCCAACAGGTGACAACATTGGGCATGTCCCTCCCAATAAATACTAAATAGTTCCGTGACTTGGAGGTCAGCCAGTCATCCAGCTGCCTGTAAAACAGTTGTCCAGTAGCCTTTGTTTTAGCTTTATTGGATTTTCTCTCATTAAGTTGCAATATGTGCTAAATACACCTTGCTGATTCTTGACCTTGTAAGGTAGATGCCCAAGAAATCAAATGATGATTCATCAGCAAGCCCTCCCATTAAAAGCTTCAGACAGTAGTGTTTATCCTTAAAGTGATCTGTAGCCAGTGCTGATGCTTCGGTGTTGCCTCCAGGAGTGTCACACACTAGCCAGGGCGTGTACATGTCCTGAGTTCTTGTGTTGGTGTCTTTTCCGCCCTCTGTTTTATTGTCGTAGAGTACATGTGTACTTGGTGGACTTGAGAACCCCCAGGCTATGCTGGATGGTTTATACTGTCTGACCTCAAGGACTATATGCTGCACTGACTGTTTCATGACTGTTGTTGGTTTTGGTTTTCCAGACTTGCTATGATGGAAGTCAAAGAGAAGAAAAAATTCACGGGACAGAGGCCAAAGACAGCACAGGGAAAGAATAGATTTCATAAAAACAGTGGTAAGAGAGCTTGCCTACATGCGCTGATTACCTTGACGATGTGATTTAGGGGGGCAAGGTTTGTAGCTGGTGCCGCCCTCTTCGTGGGCTGGGATTGCAGTAAACATGGTAGAAGGAAGTCACCGCTACCGTCCACAAGATAACCTATTTCTTGTGGAACTTCAGCTTTCAAGAAATTGTCGCAATGATTGAGGCATGCTCTATTTGTAAGAGATCCTCCGTGTCAGCGGTGTATGTGGCCTCTCATTTGCTGTGCATTGCCTTTTACTGCTTGAGGAGCTGGGGCTGGGAGTCCGCTCAGCTTTTGCCTTCTGAATTCCAAACGGTAATGTCTCTGTTTCTCCATCAGGGGTCAGTGTCACAGAGTAGAAGAATCCAGGCACATAGAGATAACTGTGTGCTAGGCAGTCTTCCGCTTTCCCTTGTAATGGTCTTAAGGCATATCTATTGTTATTGTCATCCTATTTGTTAGATGTGTATAAGCTTTTAGACTAAAAATTTTAGCCAAATACTTTTATTATAGACTTTAATTTTTTTCTCAAAATTAGACATTTCCAGAAGTACATTTTAGTTCATTTCTATGATACGCTTTCTTAATTTCAGTAACTGTTCATTTTGTTCTTATCTGAACTCTTATTGGTCATTGAGATTTTAATACAGATATTGATAATAGGGCTAATAAGACAAAATGGAAAGGTACATAATATTTTATCTAGCATATGCTTAAAACTGCAGAAATATGCCATGCTAATCATATTGTTTATTTCTAGGAGGTAACTTATAGCTTATTATTAATTCCTCTACTTTCCAGTGTTTATACGACTAACCTATATAGGTTTGTTTTGTTTTGTTTTGGGTAGGGGTTTGAGACACGGTTTCTCTGTGTAGCCCTTGCTGTTCTGGAACTCACTCTGTAGACCAGACTGGCCTCGAACTAACAGAGATTTGCCTGCCTTTGCCTCCTGAGTGCTGGGATTAAAGGTGTGAGCTACCACTCCCCTGCTTAGCCTATTCAGTTTTCTGATTAGAAGAGTTTTCTCTTAATTTTGGTTTGACTATTTAAATACCAATTTATTCAAAAGGGTTAATGTATATTTGAGAGTAAGGCTGTTGAAAAGCTTGTGGTTCTCTGCAGCATACAGTTGAATGGATACCAGAGCTTTAGGCTCATGATCAGTGAACTAATATGAACCTATGTCATCACTAGATTCCAGTTCTTCAAAGACCATCCCGAGGAAAGCTGGTAAGGAAGGCGGGCCTAAAGTCACATCTAAGAACTTTGAGAAAGGCGCCACCAAACCTGGCAAAAAGGGTGTGAAACAGTTCAAGAACAAGCCACAGGGGGGCAAAGGACCAAAGGACAAATTCCAGAAGCCAAATAAATTCAACAAGAAGAGGAAATTCCAGCCAGATGGTAAAAGTGATGGTAAGTCTAGCTCTTAGAGTCTTCGCAGAAGCCTTCCCGGGCCAGTGGGTAGCTGGACCTCTGCTGTGTCAGAGGCTGCCTGTCCTTGTTCCTAGAAAGCAACGTTTTGGAGTGGAAGGAAGGAGATATTGGGGGTGGGTGGGCTAAAGTACACAACAGCATGTTTCCTGAAATCTCTCATTCTGATGCTGGTGAGCTGGCTCAGCAGTTAGGAGCACCTGTTCTTGCAGAATACCCGAGTTCGATTCCTAGCACCTATATGGCGCCTCACAACCCTCCGTAACTCCAGTTCAAGGTGTTGAGTGTCCTCTTCTGACCTCCGGCACCGAGCATACTTGTGGGACGCGCACATGCATACAAGCAAAACACGAGTAAAATGAATCCAAAATGTTTTGAACTTTCTCATGCTTAGAAATCTTTCTTTCTTTTGCCAGATAATTGGGCAATTAACCTGAATTGTGTCTTTTTCAGGGAACTGAAAACATTCTTTTCTGAATGCCAAGCTGAGTTTCCTTGTTCGCTCATCAGATATTTACCTTTTTTTCTTTTCTTTTCTTTTTTTTTTTTTTAAGACACTGCCTCACTGTGTAGCTCTGGGTGGCCTGGAACTCACCTTGTAGACCAGGCTGGCTTTGAACTCACAGATCCACCTGCATGCACTGTCATGTCCAGCTAGCTTTCATTCATTGTGTTGGGGGATAGGTAGTTTTAAAGTCAGTGAGCTAGTCGTAGAAGCTGGCCTTAAGACACAGTTCTCCAGGTCAGGTGTCAGGCATGCTGAATTAAGAGCTCTGTAGACTCGGCTCTCACGGGGACCCAGACCAGGCTAATGATCGACTCGTCTGATGGTTCCCATGCAGCAGTAGCTGTGGATGCGCTGTATCACCTGGTGGATCCTGCCATTTCATTCCTTCAGGACAGTTTGCTCCCTGATGAGAATTGTTCCTGGGGTTTCTCTTTGACATCGACATGAGATGCCATTCTCTCTCTCACGATGTCCACGGACTCACTCCTCACCAGCATATGCCCGGTTGTACATCATGGCCCCATGGTGCCTTGTCCCTTATTGGTTTCCAGCGAATAGCTCCTTCATACTGACCTACACATCCCATCCTGTCCCGATGTGTTTTCTCGGTTTATTTCCCTACTACAGTGTGTATTCTTACAGTGCCCCCTAACTATCCGCCGAGATTACTGCCTGGCACATTTTCTATCTAGCCTTCCGGTCTGCTCCTTAGTCTTCAGTTTTCTTAAGGTTACTTGTTGTAGGAGGGACAGCATGCTTGAGGTTCAGGAGAGGAATGGGAATTTTGTTGTTTCTCAGTGTCTCCAAGACCTTTCCCCGTTGCAGTCCCTGCTCTGTTTTGTGTGGGTTTTTTTCCCTCTTTGTGTTTTTAGTTTTTTCTTCCTTGCCCCAGGCCCAATATTTGTTCCAGGTTTCTCTTTTCCCTCCTTTTGTAGTTTGTCTGGTAGTTTTAATGGGGAATGAAGAGACTAATAATGTTAAATATAGATTCTTGCATTTTAAAGATTAAAACAGAAGGAAAGTGGCAAGAAGAAAATAGTTGGTATTTATACCTCTGTTTCCGTATGACTCAGTTTACTTTCTTACTTTTTTTTTTTGCAGTGAGTGAATTTTATAATCATAGATAGGGAAATATATAGAAATAACTAAATTCCAAAAAATTTGGGGGGAGATACTCATATAAATAATACTCTAGTGAAATATTCATTTCATCTATCTTGTTGGTTTTGTTACTGTTTAATTGATAACATAATTAAATTTCAAAGATGCAGGAATAGGTAGATACTCAATGTTTCTGTCATCAATCTGTAGAAGCTTGCTATGTATTGTCATGAGTGAAAGGCACCTGTAGCTTGTCCCTGGATTTGTATCTTATTTCTAGCCCCAGGTGGTCTTGGGTGAATGATTTAATGTGTGGTCCCTAGCATGGAGGGGGTGATCAAAGACTTACCTACCTCACACTCTAAGAATTAAACAATGCGCAACAGCTCTCAGAAGAGTGGCTTTTTACTTTCGATTCTATTTTATTTTTGATGTCTGTATTGAAGTGCGTGTGTAGAAGGAGCGGCGGGGCTGCATTCCCGCCTGGCTCCCGGCCGCCTGGCTAGCTTATGCCCCGAAATAACAACACACAAACTGTATTCTTTTAAACACTGCTTGGCCCATTAGCTCTAGCCTCTTCTTGGCTAACTCTCATAATTTGCTTAACCCATTTCTAATAATCTGTGTAGCACCATGAGGTGGTGTCTTACCAGGAAAGATTCAGCATGTCTGACCTGGCAGCTGGCTTCATCTTGTCTGACCTCACTTCCCTTCTTCTCAGCATTCTATTCTGTCTACTCCACCCACCTATGTTCTGACCTATCAGGCCAAGCAGTTTCTTTATTAATTAATCAATGAAAGCAACAGATAGAATATGGCCTTCTCACATCATGCGTGTGCTCTACCACTGAGCCTCACTACCAGCTTATATCTTCACCTTGTAGAACATTGATGACCACCCTCTGTACTAAATTCATATTTGTATAGTATTCGGAATGTTAAATGCTTTGAATCTAATTCTAGAATCAGCAGCCAAGAAACCCAAATGGGATGACTTCAAAAAGAAGAAGAAGGAGCTGAAGCAGAGCAGGCAGCTCAGTGATAAGACCAACTATGACATTGTGGTTCGAGCGAAGCACATCTGGGAGAGCTTGAGAAGGTACTGGCGCCTGACAGTGCTGTTATTAGTCTGGCCAAGACTAGGGAAACACTAAGATTTGTCCTGTAAGCAGGCAGGCGTCCTACACATCAGACAGCACCTGTTTTTTTTTTTTTTTTTTTTTAATGCATGCTCAGCCCCTGTCCCGGCAGCAGTGTGGGTGTCCGCTGAGTGCAGCAATGTATGCAATCATTAGGATAGTGTCAGATAGCTTTATGGAAATGACGGGAGTCAAATGGATTTGATAGCTATCCTGAAAGATTTCTCAGAAAATGAAGGACAATCTCTTATCAGCTAGGTTTTGAGATGTTTGCTATCTTAGATTGTTCTATTATTTTTCTTTGCTTCTGAGGTTCTGGCTCTTAAGATTTAGATTGATGCATTAAATTATACCTTGTGAGATGAGTTTCTGCCTGTGAGAAAATTACTTTTGTTTGACTGCTCCAGAATAATTTTAATGTCAGAGAAACCACCCTGAACTAGTGAACATGTATTGCATGCGATTTGGTTTTCGTGTTTCAAGTAGCTTCGGCTGCGCTTCCTCTGCAGGAAGGACTGTGACAAGGGAAAGAGAGTGAAGCTGATGAGTGACTTGCAGAAGCTGATCCAAGGGAAAATCAAAACTGTGAGTATGCTGTGCTTGCGGTTCCAACTCTTAAAGAAATCCCGGGTTCTCGGTTCTCGGGAAGCATGTCCTGTGTATTTGGCAACAGCACTTCAGGACTGGTCTGCTCCACATCTGTGCCTGGCAGCCTTAAAGGCCATGAAAGCACAGTCCGTGTAGACCTTGTGAGTGGACTTTCAATTAGGACTGGAATTTCAAAGGTGATAGACTTTTCTGTCTCTTGCATTTGTTTCAGCTATGAAATGTGATAGGAAGTGAAGCCAGACAGTACTTCACTACATAATTAACTTATCTCTGTCTCAAGCAGGCGAGTGCAGTTTAAGCTGAAAAAAGTGTACGTTGTAAGAAATAGTGTAACTAGTAGAAACAAGCTGGTTCAGACAGTCTGAGTCTAGAAAGTCCCAACTGTTTGCCTACAGATTGCCTTTGCACACGACTCAACACGCGTGATCCAGTGCTTCATCCAGTATGGGAATGAAGAGCAGAGGAAGCAGGCTTTTGAAGAATTGCAAGGTATTGTTGTATTTTTATAGTTTTTGATAAAGTTGTAAGGCTGAAGGATATTCTGGAGAGTAGTTTCATATTTTCTTCAAGAATGTTTTTGTTGCTCTGTTTCTTTGCCTGAGCCAAGTAGAGTGAGCTGTGTTCCAGAATCATGTGTGTGTTTATTTCTTTCCTTTTTTTTTTTTTTTTTTTTTTCCTGGAGAACTGAAGTGAATAAGCCAGGTCATTGGGATGTTTTGTTTTCTCCACCAGGTGACTTGGTTGAACTAAGTAAAGCCAAATATTCCAGGAATATCGTCAAGAAATTTCTCATGTATGGGTAAGTTGGTATAAAGTGTAATTTTTCCCTTGGCTTTTGGTTTTGTGGATTCATTGTTACCCAAATGCTACTTTAAAATCTCTGGTCTTTGTAATCGCCTCCAGACACTTGTGGTCTTCCTAGAGCACCACACCTTAAAATAATAACTGAAACCAACTAAGATCATGGTGCTGCCTTCTCCCATTGTTGAGGTCCTGTTTCATATATTTAAGTTAAAGAACAAAGCATTGGGATAATTAACTTTGATTACTAGTATTCGGGGTAGAAAGTTGAGAGGGACAGGTGAGCAGACTCTGCGGTAGGTCATTGTGTCAGCACGTGTCAAGGATGATTTTATAATGACATGCTGTTGGTACCTAGCTAGACCAGCCTTTCTGGTGTGAGATGTACCAGATGTGATAGCAGCAAAAAAAATAAGTGACATACAATTGATAACATTTTTTTCCTAACCATTCCTGGCTATTATTAGCTTTTCAAATGCTTTAGAATAATTTTTTTTTAAAGAAAATAGTTTATTTCTGTTTCCTCCTTGACTGTCCTTTCCTAACTTTCCTTGTGGGCTAGTTTAAGGAACGACCAGGGCACCTTCTGTGTGCTGGTCACCATTCTTGATGCATCTTAGTCCGTCCAGTTCTCACAGCAGCTGCGCTCCTATTTTGTGAATGAAGAAGCTGAGGCCTAGAGAAGTTGTAAGACCATAGGCTTGGGGCTGTAGCTTAGTGATAGAGCATTTATTTGCCTTGCATGCATGAAGTCCTCAGTTCAATCCCCAGTGCTGCCCATAATAAATTAAGAAAAAAATCTGCTTGGCTCGTTGAGCTGGTTAGCAGAGCCAGGCTTTCTCACCAAGGATTATAGCCTACTTCTAAGCCTTAAAAATTTGCTCACTACCAGCCTCCCCACATAGGAGAACTCCCCTCTAACACCAATACTGATGAGTTGGCCTTTGGAGAAGTAAGCGTGGCTGTATTGTTACCCAGCCTTCTCTCACTTACTTTTTCTGTGTTCCTATTGACTTTAGGAGTAAACCTCAGATAGCAGAGATAATCAGAAGTTTTAAAGGTCACGTGAGGAAGATGCTGCGGCACTCGGAGGCATCGGCCATCGTGGAGTATGCGTACAATGACAAGGCCATTTTGGAACAGAGGAACATGCTGACAGAAGAGCTCTATGGGAACACGTTTCAGCTTTACAAGGTGCCCTTTCTACAAGTTCTTACCCTGTGTATTTATTTTTCTGTGTGGTCATTAAGTGTCAATGTCCTGTATATGAGATGTGTTTTTACCAAGCTAGTCCTTCAGGATTTTATTTGTATTTTTGTTCTCTTGGATTATGTCCTTGCAGTAGGGAACAAGTGGTCACTCGGTGCTTTCTCCCTCAGAAGGCTGTCTTTAGATCGGTCTATTTTTATTGCTTCCAGCTGTGTATGCGATGCTTCAGTGGTCTCTTCCTGAAGTCAGTGAGATCAAAGACTGCTGTAGTGAGCGAGTGGTACCGCTGCTCCGTAGCCAGCTCTGGCCGAGGGGCACTGCGCCTCCTTTTGTGACTGTCTCCAGTTTCTTTCCAGTTTTGCCTTGCCTTTGTCTGGATTGGATCTGGAGAGGGAGGGTTCTAGGAACCTGAAATACAGAAGTTGATTCTGGGACCAACCAGTGATGGGACTAGTACTGCTGGAGGACCTATTTCAAACCTTGGGACACAGCTGGGTGGTGGTGGTGCACGCCTTTAATCCCAGCGTTTTGGAGGCAGAGGCAGGTGGATCTCTGTGAGTTCGAGGCCAGCCTGTTTTACAAAGCAAGTTCTAGGACAGCCAGGGCTACACAGAGAAACCCTCTATTGAAAAACCAAAGGGGGAAGAAATGAAAAGTATGTCTGTACTGGACATGTATAGATTATGTTCCTTATTGTTCTGTAAACAACATAGTATAATAACTATTTATTGAGCATTTGTGTTTTGTTATGTCATGTAAGTAGCCTTGAGATGGTTTAAAATATACCGAAGGATCGTATGGATCATATATAAATACTTTGTTGTTTTATGGGGAGTCTTAAGTGTCAGCAGGTTTTATATCCATGGCTAGAGCTGACCCTCTGCAGGGATGCTCACACACTGGCAGATGTGCAGGCAGGGAATCAGATCACGAGGAGTTACTCTGTGGGCATTCACTCTAGAAATGGAAAACATCACAAAATTACTTTAAACTTGTTTTAACGTGGCTCGAGTTCTTACTTGTCCGGAAGTGATGGCATCGGGAGACATTTGGTTATTGTTCTGTTTCAGTCGGCTGATCACCCAACTCTGGACAAGGTGCTGGAGGTGCAGCCAGGAAAGCTGGAGCTTATTATGGATGAGATGAAGCAGATTCTGACTCCCATGGCCCAAAAGTAAGACGGGTTTTTATTACAGATTGAAATAGGTCTTTGAAGGAGCCACATTTTACAGAATCCTTGCCAGAGAGGAGACATTTTCCTCCACACTGTTAATAATCTAGCATAAATAAGAGTATAAAACATTTTGTTTGAAACTATTCTTGATGCAGGTAGATGTGGCTCTTCTTAATGTTGTATCTTATTGGCTAACTTTTTATGGTGGCTTATCAACATTTTTAAAGTGATAAAACCTTTTTTTTTCAAAGTGTTGACTGAGCCTTTGTATGTTAAGTAGTTTACCCTGTTGGTTGTTTAAACTGCACTATAGACAAGTTTGTACTTGCTGTCACCACGTCTTTGGTACCTTACAAAATGGTTGGGAGCAAAGCAAAGCTGCTGGGACCAGGCAGGGTGACTGTGACTCCTGATAACATGTCCCCTTACCCCCTAATCCTGCGTGTACGTGGACAACTTCACCTCTCTGGGCCTGGTTTCCAGACCTGTGGAACTGAAGTGATAATACCACATTATTTGTAAGGTTTTTATGAAGATGAAATAGGTTAAAATATTTGCAAAGCCCTTGGAGGAGTGCTTTGTTCATCAAGGTGTTCGTTTCTGTAGTGTGTCTGCGTGTTTTATGTGAACTTCCATGTTCTTGATCTTGAACATCAGCTAGCACTGCACTCCTGAACTTACCACACATCGTATTGGGGTGTAGATGATTAGGGGTTGTCGCTGCTGGTGGCACTGCTGTCGTTCATTCAAATCGTACTGCTGCTGAAATTATTTATGATTCTGAGACATTTTGCAGAATGATTGACAGAAAATAACCACGAGTAATGGGTCTACCTGTGAATTTTTAATGAGGTATCCAATACTGGGGGTGGGGCTACACTGCAGCTGTCCTTGTTCTGATGAGGTAGAACCTGCTGGGACCAGTGCATCATCTTGCTATAGAGCCTGGAAATTCATATGCTGCTCTCAGTCGTGATGACACTAAACCACACTAAACATCTTAGCATTGTTGAAAGATAAACTTGATTTATGGCAGATTATATTTAGTAAAAAACATTTCACTTGTTTAGATGATCTTAAGTTACCTGTCTTTGTGTTGCTGTTTCGCTAGATCTGACTGTCTTCCCTTCCGTTTGCAGGGAAGCTGTGATTAAGCACTCACTGGTTCATAAAGTATTCTTGGACTTTTTTACCTTTGCACCCCCAAAACTTCGATCGGTAAGTCCTGGTTTCTGTCTTTGAATCAGTGCAAAGCCGGCGTGGTGGCACACACTTGAGATTTGGCGCTTTTGTACACACGGTTCCTTTCTCCCTTAGAAACCCCCTAAATAATGCACTGAGCAGATCTGCTAAATCTCTTTATTTCCAGCCTTCCCCTCCCCCAGGAAAGGAATAGAATTGACCCTACTTTTATTAATGGCCCTCAATTTTTACATTTTAGTTACAATCCAGGGAGTGTCCTCTAGCTAATCTAATCTAAAAGGCAGCCTACATTGGAGGATTCCTCAGTATTCCAGTAATTTAAATTAAAAAAAAAAAAATGCCCGCTTTAAAAGGTTAAGGGAGGATACTTAGTGTGACACTAAATGGCCCATGAAAGCTTGGACCTTACCTGATGGAGGCAGCGGACCAGTGAAGGTCATTGCACTGCCCTTGGAGTCAGCAGTGGGAATACAGATGAGAACTCGTGCTTTACTTCCCGATTTGCTCGTCTTGTCTCATCCAGCTGTGCCCTGTTGTCCATTGGTTCTCATTTTCTAATCACGAGAGCTGACGAAGATAACACATCTTATATCTTTTAACATATATGCCTAGTGCACATTCCTGGGGATTTTGAAGCCCTCCGATTAGCATGTAGAATAATTTCTCTGCAGCCTACCCACCCTCCAGCCCCCCAACCTTGTGGCCAGAAGAGCGGCATTTGCTCTCCTAGGATCTTCCTGCTTTCGTACAGAGCCCAGGATCTTGGAGTTTTTGTGCTAAGAGTGTTTTGGTGACAGTGGAACGCAGCATTCAGTCATAGCAAACATCTGGAGTGGACATAAAGTGACAAGACCTTCTCTGGAGATCTTGGAAACAGAACTGGAACCTGTGTTACCTCCCACACCAGTTACCTTCCAGCCCAATAGCTTTTATTAATTCTTTGAGATTTTCATGTGTATATATCATGTGTTTTGATCTTATTAATCCTCATTCCTCCCAGATCCACGCCCCCAATTCCTTGCCATCTTTTTTTTTTTTTTTTTTTTTGAATAACCCACATACATTCACAGTTTGGGGGCCATCTCCTGACCATACTATCCTGACCATACTATTAAACATTGTCTCCCTCCCCTATAAGCCATCAGCTGTCAATAGCTCTTCGGCTCAGGGTGCCTGGCTTGAATGTTGACTGGCAGTAGCTGTTGCTGTGGGTTCATGGATGTAGTGGTCTGTCCAGTCCAGTCCAGAGACTGTTTGCCTTGTGTCTCCTAGAATCTTCCTCCCCACCCTTCCACAATATCCCCTTAGCCTTGAGGGGAGGAGCTATGGTATACATACCCCGTTTACAGTAGAGCACTTTCGGAGAAATTCTGAAGTTCAGATATGCGCCCCAAAATCTGGTCTTGAGATTCATCCTGGGAGCGGGCGGTATCTTAGGGTGAAGTGCAGCCCTTTTTTTCCCCAGACTTTGGATAAGTTTTCCCAGTAGAAAATTTTAATTCAGAAGGCCTGTAGCAATTGGGTTCCAGAGCTCATTTATATCCTGGGTGCTCAGACTTTGGAAATAAGAAATGGTGTTTTTCCCCTTCACTTTTTACAAAATGGTTATCTTTGAGTAAAGGTTAAATGTTAGCACAGAGATTTCATTGAGAAATATTATTTAAGTGTTTGGTGCACAAGTCATCTGACTTGTAGAGGTGATCCGGTCCTGTGGTAAACTAAACCCCAGACACTTGGGTCAGAATGAGTTTTGATTGTGTTTGTTATGCTCACATGTGGGAGAGCATGTTCTTTTCCCAGCTGTTCTGTTAAACACTGCCTTAGAACCACAACTCTGGCTCCTGTTTCTGTATTCATTGAAATATATCGCACATCACCTGTGAGTACTTTACAACTAGATGTAAGAGGAAATTGGTTATGTTGTTTATTAGAAATTACTATGAGCTGCATTTGCTGCTTTTGTTGGGAAAGAATGTGTCTAGAAAGAGGCTGGCTGTAGGATTGAAACCTGAAGTGTTCACTGCCTGGGGTTCCTCTTCATTCTCTGCCTTGCATTCTCTAGGAATTAATTGAAGCCATCCGGGAAGCAGTGGTATACCTGGCCCACACACACGATGGCGCCAGAGTGGCCATGCACTGCTTGTGGCACGGTACCCCCAAGGTAAGTCAGAGCCATGCCTTACCTGCACTCTGGACTTGATCTTTAAGCCTTGAGTCAGTCGGCTTTAGTCTTACTTTGTTCAACTTTGGTTCCCAGTTGTACAGAAGTGTCATCTTCTGGGAACTGTATGTTAGGGCCTCCCGGGGCTTCACTGAAAGCTAAGGAAGAAATCCTCCAGTTAGGTGACACATTTATACTCAGCCTCGGCTTACACGGGTCTGGAGACCCATGTTCTCTTCTTTCACTTCTCATTTAATGGTCATATTGAGAATGGGAGGAAGGCAGAGATAATTAATAATTAACTGCACCATATGTGTGTCCTGTGTGGTTTAAATACTCTGAGGAAAAGGTGAACATCCATCTAGATCATAGAATTTTGCATATTTCATCTGTTAAATGTTAGTTGTGTTTTATCTACTTACATTTACTTACTGCAAATGTAAGTATTGCACAAACATACATTAATATAGCTGTATGTTAGATTCTTGAAGGCATATCAGACATTGGAAGAATTTCATGGTTCCATATTTGTGCCAAAATGGGTGGACATAAACTGAAAATTATATAATTCTTTATAGGTGTTTTGGTTTACCCCGCACCATTTTCCATTCTGCTTTGTAAACTGGTTTTTTCCACTAACAAAGAGATGATGCTGATGAAGATGTAAATAATAATAATATGTAAATATTAACTTTGCAGTCAGCTTAATCTACAATTAAAAGTTGATTGAGGCACTTTTTCCTTTTTAAGGACAGGAAAGTGATTGTGAAAACAATGAAGACCTACGTGGAAAAAGTGGCTAACGTAAGTACGACAGAATCACGTCCGTGAAGTCTAGCAGTGCCTATTGGGAAAAGTGGAAAACTACAGGAAATTGTTTACATTTGTTTATCGCATCTTTTCTACCCATTTTTTAGGTTAATTTGAACAAAATGGAGTTCATACTATAGTTTTCTCTCTACGTATGAATTGTTTGTATATATGTGTGTCTTGCTAGTGATCAAAGAGAGGAGTTCATATGTTCTAGGCGGTACCCTGCCTGTCTGTGCACTACACCCCAGGCCCTGTTTGGTGGTGGTCTATAAAGACTGATCGTTTGTACCTGTTTTATACCTGTCTTCAGCCTTGTTCACTAGGTACGGGATTACTGCTGCCTATTTAAGCCTTAGATATCTAATTAAATAATGTCAGCTTGTAGTTCAGAAACTTAAGACTGATTTTTGCCACCACCAAAACCGTAATAAATTAAAAATGGTCTGTTTTCTTGGTATAAATTTATGGTGTGGTCATGAAAAAGTTGAGCTATTAAATATTTTAGCTTCTTGGAATCTGTTGAAGGATTAGCATTAGATACCAGAGGTTTTGTTTGTGGTGGTTGTTTTGTTTCTTTTCTAAACGAGGATGTTTGTAGCTGGGCAGCAGCGCAGCGGATAAAGGACTTAACCTCGAGCCTGGCTCTGCACACGCACACACAGGAGCCTCACCCACATACGTGTGCATTGCCATCCACACCGTGATGCAAATAATAGAAATCTTTGTGTGTTGAATGATTTTTCCATGCTAGCAATGCAAAGTAATGCTAAACCTAGGTTATATGTGGCAGTGAATGTGATTTTGATTGTATAATTCAGTAAATTTATCAATTACTGGTGAGTTGAAACTACTCTCTGTTCAACCTTTTTCTTTAAAAAAAAAAATCCAATGAGATCAACTAGATTTGTCAAATTCTTACTTCAGCTAGTGGTTCAGACCAAGGATAGATGCTGTGTGGACCAGGTGGTTTTCTGTGGCTGGGAATGATGGGAAGAGTTAGTATCCAACTGTTTGGTAGGCCACTGACTTCTGGGAAGGGAAATGTGTTTTTTTTCCAGCTTATGATGTACAAGAATGTTTTATTCACAGTTAAGTTTGTGTGACATTTAATTGAAATACTTAAATTTGGAATTGAGTAAAAATGGGTTGTTAATAGAAAGTTCTATCTAAACTGTATTAGTAAGGTATTTTCTAAATAATAAATTAGATTTTTTTATTTTAAATTTTGATTACATGAGGTAATTGGCCAATTCATTTTTTGAGATCCTTTCCAAATTTGGCATTGTGGTGGTAACAGAACCTAGCAATCTGACATCTGTAATTTAAGAATTACCTCTGAGAGAGAAGGTAAACAAACAGAACTTGATAGATTTGAACTGTCATTTAGAATTCCAGATGTTACTGTTCAGTTTTGAGGTTTTTATACTTTTTTTTTTTTTTTTTTTTTTTTTGGTTTTTCGAGACAGGGTTTCTCTGTGGTTTTGGAGCCTGTCCTGGAACTAGCTCTTGTAGACCAGGCTGGTCTCGAACTCACAGAGATCCGCCTGCCTCTGCCTCCCGAGTGCTGGGATTAAAGATGTGCGCCACCACCGCCCGGCAGTTTTTATACTTTTATTTTACTATTCCAGTCTTTAAAATTTTATCTAGACTTCTTTCAGTCCTGGCATTAAGTCTGTCTCAGTGCCTTGAACAGAATTATTGTGGAGTGTTTATGGTAGTCTTAAATGTCAGTCAGATCAAGGTGGTGTTTGCTGGTTTCTGGGTTTCGGCTCCTGAGAGAAGCATTTTTCAGTGTCTAGATGTGATTGTGGGATCGCCTGTTGCTCCCCTGTGTAATTAATATGGGCTGATTGCCGACTTCAGTAGAGATGACCATTGCTCTTTGTTCAGTGTGACGGTGCCTTTAAAAGATGGCACCTCAGCGTCTGCATTTTAAATTGAGTTGTGGGCCAACTTCTGTATTCATACAGAAATGCCTTGCTTGCAGTTTGTTGTGCTGTGCCTGCCTGACAGTGGAAACAAGGAGTTTTTGATGTGTTCCATCGCATGGCTGTATCATGATTCACTTAGCCAGTCCTTTCTGTTGGAATCTTGAATTGTTTTTAGAGTCCTTAAATTATGAATATTATATATATATATATATATATCAGTTACTATATGTATATATATATGTATGTATGTGGAAGCATGTCTAGGGTAAATCCCTAGAGCTAAAATTGCTAGATGAGAACATACATGCATGTTGTATTAATGTTGCCAATTGCTTTCCAAAGAAGAAAACCACTTTACATTCTAACCAGCGTGAAGATGCCTGCTTTCCCCCAAAAGTTCAACTCAAAGAGGTGATTGTAGACAGAGTGTGTTTGTGAGTGCCCCTTTCTACTCTTACAAGCAGTGATTTTTATCTACTTCTTGGGGCCATTATGGTGTATATAGTTGGTATACTTTTTGTTGTGTGTGTGGATTTAGGGAAGTTTCTTTTTTTGTTTGTTTCTTTGTTTTGAAACTTGTGGGTTTTTGCTGTTTGTTTAAGAAGAAACCAACCATGTAGCCTCTAGAACTCAAGTGTGTAGGTTGGGATGTTCTCGAACATACAGAAGTCTTCCGGTCTCCCTCTAATAAATACCTAAAGGTGTCATAAGTTATAGGGATGTACCACAGTACCTAGCTCTTATCCAATTTTTGTATATGGTTTGGGGTTTTGTTTTCACTATTTGGTTTTAAATATCTATAGCTATTTTCTTTCTCTTTTTTCTTTTCTTTTTTTTTTTTTTTTTTTTTTTTGAGACAGGGTTTCTCTGGTTTTGGAGCCTGTCCTGGAACTAGCTCTTGTAGACCAGGCTGGCCTCGAACTCACAGAGATCCACCTGCCTCTGCCTCCCAAGTGCTGGGATTAAAGGTGTGTGCCACCACTGCCCGACTAATTTTTTTTTTTTTTTTTTTTGGTATTTTGTGACAAGGTTTCTCTGTAGCTTTGGTGCCTGCTCTATAGCTATTTTCAAAGAAATTCAGCAATGTACAATAAAAGCAACTGGACAAATTACAATAAAATAATTTTTAGTCCTTTGACCCGGGGTGACTATGTTTTGCCTTCTAGAATTTTCTGTGTATGTACAGAAAATTTATAAAAATGTATATATCCATAGTTTTATGAATGTATGCATATATTTTATGATGTATATTTATGTATGTGTATATAAATCTTCCTGTGATTAGCCATTTTTTTTTTTTGGTAATTTGAATAGTTTCTATATGTAGTTGTATGCACATGCTTTCCTCCCCCAATTAACCTTTCATTTAATTGTCTCATTTAAAATTTTGAAGTGGCCATTCATTAATTGGATGTTTGCTTAGGTTTTGTCCTGTTTGACCAGTATGTTTTTCTGTTTCTTTTTTTTTTTTTTGCTAAATCAACTTTATCTCAATAATTAGGTGGTTCTTTTGAGTGGTTTTGACTCACCTTGTTTGCATAAGGTTGGACAGACTGTTGTGTAGGCTCTGTGGGTAGAGTGTGTAAGAGGAAAATTTTGTTTTTTATCACTATGTCATGATAGCATAGACCAGGCTGCACACAAATTCAGAGATCTGTATGCCCCTGAGATGCTGGGATTAAAAGCATATGCTGTCATACCTGGCTTTCTAGGTTTGCTGTTACTTTATCTTGTTTTTTTTTTTAATTAATTAATTTATTTATTTAGTTGTTTAGTTTCTGTGTTGGAGATGGGTGCTGGGCACATATGTGGAGGTCAGAGGACAACTTTGGAAAGTCTGTTCTCTTCTTCCACCATTCAGGTTCTGGGGCTTGAACCCGGGTCATGAGGCTTGGCAGCAAGCGCCTTTACCCACAAGAGCCGGTTCACCAGTCCACCATACAATTGTTTTTAACCCTTTCTGTCTCCCCATTCTTACAGGGCCAGTACTCGCATTTGGTTTTACTGGCAGCATTTGATTGTATCGATGATACTAAGCTTGTGAAGCAGATAATCATATCAGTAAGTAATTGGGATGGGCTGGGGTTGGTCACATCGGCCAGCGGCCAGTGCTGGAGTTTAATTTCACATGCTATGTAAACTCTTTGACTTGTGCTTTTTGTCCATGTTTACTGAGACTTTAGTTGTGTCTTATTTTACAGACTTGCTCTGTTCCTGTATGAATCCCAACCTTGTAACTGGATAGTAATTGTTTTAAAGATCAAAATGGCCATGGTTAAAACATGACTTGACATTTATACCTGACTTTGGATTAAGGTTGCATTAATTTTTTTTTTTTTAAGCAAAGCAGTGCTTGGATATGATTGGTAATTATTTGGTGATTGCCTTGTTTAGTGATTCTACAATTTAATTCACTTGTTGTGGGCAAGCAACCTCTGCACAGCTGTCCAGTTCATCTGTCCCTATGTGCTTGGCTAAGCTGCTAGTGGAGAAGAGAACACCTAAAACCCATTCAGCTGTGCTTGTGACACCCTTAACAAAAGCTTCTGTTAAAGTCGGTGTCCTAACTGCCTTCTTACCTCTTAGCGATTGCTCAGGTCTAATACAGTGACCATACGGTGGTAATGCTTGACTAAACATCTTCATCCCTGCCCCTGACTTCAGAACTCCAGGCAGAGCTGCCCCAAAGTAGACATGGTGGTGGCAACTGGGTGTCTCCTTCTCTCTCTGACCCTCCTGCTCTCATTCTGATTCTCTGAGCCTGCCTTCTGTGTAGTATGCACAAGTTTTGGCTGGACAAGGGAGAGATTGCCAAACTAGGGACAAGAAATCGCAGTATTGGTAGCAATGACCAAAATTGGAAATGTTTTTAAAACTGATTAGTTTTACAAGCACATACTGTTCACCAGGAAGTCCCATGCACCCTGGGTTTGCATGTGGAGTCTTGGAGAAATTGTCCTGACAAGTGAGACTCCTACAGGGTCCGTGGAGCAAAGCCTGTGGTCAGATGGGGGTGCTGTGGCCTCTCTAGTCTGACAGGGTGAGGGTAGCTCAGTGTTTACTGAGTTTATTCCTAATAGAAGGGGGGAGGGGGGAAGCTTCCTAGACGGCAGCTGGAAAGCCCAGTTGCGGGTTTCTCATGCCCTCGCTGCCACTTTCCAGCTCCATTCTTGACTCTTCTTGAAGTGATGGTGACTTTTGGGGGAATGGGATTGTGGGAAGAAACAAGTTGGCAAGACTTTGTGTCACAGACTGAATATTTTGACATGTTTCTTGTGACTTTAGGACCCTTTTGACTCCAATCACTAGTGATTGTTTTTCATTCCTGTGACAGAGATGTGAGGCCGTAGAATCGGCAATGAATAAAGCTGTTCTGTGAAAATAGAAACTGGCTGGCCTGTTGAAAGTTTGCTTTGTGTAATATTTCACAAAAACGAAAACGTGCCTTGTTACTCCAAATGCATTTCAAGGGAAACAAGTGCCCCTCAGGACTTGCCAGATTTATCTGCTGGGTTAGTCTTTTCCAACCATTTATCTCTCTTCAAGTTGCTGTTGAAGCCATTTTCGTTTCTTGCACTTATCTGTTTGAGGTCCACAGCTGTGGAACCCACATTCCTGAAGGCGAACTGGAGGCAGCTCTCATGGACGCGCCTCTCGCTGACAAATGCTCCACCTTTCTGTGTATCATTAAACCCGGAGTTAGTGATAAAGTTGTGACATGTTCATTGCTCTTGTATTTTCCCACCCATCCACCAAAGGATTCAGTTGCGGTGCTTTTTAAAAATTACCAGGAAAGTTGAGCATTGCCAAGCACTCCACTTAGGGTATCTGTGCTTCCCAGAATGTCAAGTTGGAATCTCAGCCTGGTCAGCTGTACCTTTCTTTGACCTTTCAAAATAAACTCAAGCTGTCGCCCACCTGCTTTCCTCTCCAGAATGAACATACTTCCAAAGGAAACAATTCCATTTATTCTCATGTGCTTTGGCTGGTTTCATAGCAGCTTTGCTAAGAAAGGGATGGGTACCTGGTCATTTGCTGTTTGGGAATGAAGAAGTATTGATACATATTTTAAATGCCATATCTTTAATAAATAATTTAAGTTACTAAGAATAATATGCCAACTACTTAGTCTTCTATCATTTGACACAAATAAGTAAAACGTGGCTCATTGTAATGGCTCACACCTATAATCCCACCACTTGAGAGGCCAACAAACCTGGAGGTTGGGCCAGCCTGGCTCAATAATGAGATTTATTTATTATTCATTTATTTATTGTGAAGAGCTAGATGGTAATTACTTTAGGCCTTATGGGTCATATATGGTTTGTCTTGTTTATACTTTTAAAGAATGCTTTGCAGTGTAAAATAGGAAGGAAAAGAAAAAGCATTCTTAGCTTGATGGGTGTGTAGAACATGAACATAGACAGGATTTGCCCTATAGAGCATAATTTTCCCACCTTTGTGTGTTGCGTTTATTTTCAGTGACTAGTAGGAAGTAGTCTGCTAGTGAATGTACTGAAGTCTGTAGTTTTTATATTCATGGTGGTGATTAGTATTTCTTATACTCTTAAAAACTAGAGGGTGAAGGCAGGAGAATAGGAAGTTCAAGGTTACCCTTGGTCACAAAGCAACTTTGAGGTCAGCTTGGGGTACATAAGACTCTATCACAAAAACAGAAAGCAAACCCTTTCTGGAGGAGGGGGCGTGTAGTTGATGTCAGAGCACCTCGAAAGCACATGAGAGACTTGACTCAGTCCCTAACACCGCAAACCAGAAGCAAACGAACAGTGACAAAAACAGGAACACCCCAGAAATTGTTTTTCCTTTTTATTGGCTTTTGCTATTCCATAGAATTCTTATCACATATATGGGTATTCTGGTTTCATTTCTGTAGCTGTGAAACTTTAAAAACAAAACAACAACCTTGGGGAAAAAGGTTTGATTTGGCTTACAATTGACCCTCCTAATGGAGAAGTCAGGTCAGGCATTAGATATCGCATACACAGTCATGGACAGACAGAGGAAATACATGGATTCTTGCTTGTTGGCTGGAGTTTTCTTTATACTGGTCAGTACACCTTCCTAGGGAATAGAGCTTCCCACAGTGAACTGGGATTTCCTGCATCAGTTACTAGGCAAGATGATTCACCCACAGTCATGCTGAAAGGTCAACCTGTTCCTGATAATTCCTCAGTGAGACTCTTCTCAGATGATCCTAGGTTGTAACAAACTGATAGTCAACACTAACCAGTAGAGTACTGTGAGTGACTCTTTCCCACCCAGGCTCTAAGAAAACCCAGTGTGGCTAGGTGTTCTCTTCAGAGTAATTGGTCTTACCAACGTGTCAGGTTGAAATCATTCTTTGTTTCCTATGGCCAAATGCCAGGTAGTGCGCCCTGCTCTCTCAGCCACATCTGCCTCTCACTTGACTTTTTCCTTTGGTTGTTTTCATTCATTTTTTAGCAGTTAGCTGTGATCTGACAGAACTTATAAACTCAGAAATGACCAGAGACCAGATGCTTACATGAATGAGATAGGCTAGGTGTTCAATAAAGAGGGAGGGAGTCGAGAATGGAGAGAATACATCATGCCCTTAGTGCAGCTAAAAATGTGGCCTCTGGATAAAGTCCTATCTTTACAGTACTTGGCTTCCTAGTGATCTGACCTCCCTCAACTGTCTAGTACTTAAGTCTCTCCTATTATTTTTAGCTTTCTATTAATTCTCTTGCTTATTCTACTAGATTTTAGCTCCCTGTGACTAGTTTCATCATTCCCATATATGTCCTATTACAGCAGTGTGTTTACTACAGGCTCAAGTTTCTGTTGCTTGTTTCTGCCTTATGGAAAATGTGGACACGTTTCCTGTGCGCACCTTTGTTTTGAACCACTAGCCCTCTTAAGAATGCCATGGAGCCTGGACATGGGTAGAGCAAATGAACTGAATGTCTATGCATAGATGTTGTGCACAGACTGCGCCATGAAAGTAGTCCTTGTGGGGGGCCTGTCAGTGGAGTCCACTGTGGTGGCTCTTCATTATGCCATGAGAAAGATGTCAGTTCATGGCACACTGAGGACATACTAAAGGTTCCCTGTGTTGGAGTCAAACCATCTCATTATTGAAAGCATGGATAATAATGCTACTTTAAGACTTGTTTACTTTGAGATGATGAAAAGAACTCCACACCCTATAATGAATTCTGCATTTTTCTGGTGTGATTGAAATTATGGATGCATTTTAGATGGTTAGACCTATTTCTGAAAGCCTTCATGTGTGTGTGGAAATCATGTGTGACCTTGGGTTCAGAGGTGATTCAGAGAGCTGGATGAGGAGCCAGCTGTAGTTCGGGAAGCTAGTTATGAGGGAGATTATTCAGCGCTAAGCGGTGTCCGGTTCCATTTTAGCATGTAGCCAGTGCGAGCGCCTGTCATTGGGTATCAGAAGGATGTGGACTAGTGCAGAAAGCTGAGGGAAGCCTGGGGTTTTATCAACGAACACGAGAGTCTGAGTTGTGCTGTATTCTGAGCCATGGATGACTGACTTTTAGTTTAGCCCCTTGTACTACTAAAATCATTATTTAGTAATGAATGGTGGTTTGGTTGGTTTGGTTTGGTTTTTAAGGACAGACTAGGGACTGGAGCAGTAGCTTTGCTCCATGGCTAAGAGCACTGGCTACTTTCCCAGAAGATCCAGGTTCAATACCCAGAACCTACATAGCAGCTCAGAACTCTCTGTAACTCTAATCGCAGGGGATCTGATACCCTTTTCTGGCTCCTGTGGGTATGTCATGCATGTTGTACACAGACATGAATGGAGACAAAACACCCGTACACACAATAAAAACATTTTTTTAATTGTTTAAAAAAAATAACAATCCTGAGTTTATGTCATCTTGGGAGGGTCTCTTCCTTTATGAAGACTGTGTATGCTTCCTTTGGATATGACAGCTTTGCAGTCAAGGTCAGGAGTAGTCAGATCTCTGCTTCTGATCCTGACCTGTAAACATAGCTAGTGGATGACCACACTCTGCCTCTGCGACACCTGTTTCTCACTATAGTAAACAGCCTTCGTTTGCTATATTAGCAGCCCAGCTGAGCCTGTATCAACTTCCTGCTCCACAGGGCAGCTTCCTCTCTCCTGTCCCTGCAGGGAAGTTCTGAGGCCTGTGCCTCATCAAGGCTCGTGCTACACAGAGTGCTCCTGCAAAGTGACCCTCTACTGCTCCGATCACAGCAGGTGCTGTCCTTAGTAACAGCAGTCCAGATACTCCTCCTCATGAGTGGAGATAGCTCTTCCAAGCTCTTAAAGTCGTTGGGTTTGATCCGTTAATACGAACAGGTTATTCACTAATGACAGCCACAGTAGATAATTAACTATGTTCTGAATGTAATTCTTCGTGTTTTGATAAGACATGTCAGAATTAACTTCACATTTGCTAGTGAGTGCGTGGAGGGAAATAGCCAAGGTTGTGTTGCTCGTTCCCATCAAATCCCATCTGAACTTGGAATGTAAATAGTGCTGCAAGGGTGCTTTTTGTTTTTTAATTATATAGGAAATCATCAGTTCCCTGCCCAGCATAGTAAATGACAAATACGGGAGGAAAGTCCTGTTGTACTTGCTGAGTCCCAGAGATCCCGCCCACACAGTTCCAGAAATCATCGAACTTCTGCAGAAGGGTGATGGCAATGCACACAGGTAACTGGCGGCTGATAGCTTGGCACCTGTTCCTCTGCCTGGGTGAGGGATGTATGCACCAAGAAGTTTCTGTACGCGCATCCCTCTCTCCCTCTATTTCTCTAAAACTTCTTAGTGAATTCCCTGTTATGCTTGAGAGTTTGACGGTCTCAGACCATACCTTGAAAGGAAATGGCAGTGTCAGACTGAAGGTCCCCCTGAGCAGACTTGGCACCCAGTAGTGTGTATTTTGATTTTTTTGTTTGGCTTTACTTTCAAGGCTCCTGGTGTCATGTGTTTTAATGTCTTGAGAGCAGAGTCTATGAAGTACTCTGAACACGTCCTGTCTTGCATGTTGATTTGTCATTACTTGGTTTAAGACTGCCTGGATTTGGGAGGGTTGTTTGTCTGTAGTGTAGAAAGCAACTTCCTTTATTGAAGTCCTGTTCCTTGCCAGGCAGTGTTGAGATCATGAGATGGAAAGATGCCCAGTCTGCAGCCTTCACTCCCTCACTGTCCGCATCCTCAGCAGGACAGACAGTTACAGTAGCGGGTAGCCCAGGTTGGGATAAGCTCCTAGAGGGTTGTGATAACAAGATCTGCTATTTATCGTACCACCTCATTCATCATATTCCGACAGTAAGAAAGACACCGCCATCCGCCGGCGTGAGCTCTTGGAATCCATCTCCCCAGCTTTGCTAAACCACCTGCAAGGACATGCGCAAGAGGTGGTGCTGGACAGGTCTACGTGTGTGTTGGTGTCTGACATCCTGGGATCTGCTACGGGAGATGTTCAGCCTGCCATGGATGCCATCGCCAGTTTGGCAGCTGTGGAACTGCATCCTGGTGGCAAGGACGGAGAGGTGATGTACAGTTGATTATAGTACAGGCAGCAGAGCCACGGGGCTTGCAGAAGCCGCAGTCATGGACACTACAGAGTGTTAGCAGTAATGCCAGTAGCACATTCAAACAGACCAGAGCGCCATATAGTGCCTGACCTTCTCAGAAATGCAGTGATTCTATACTGCCTGAAGTCATGTGCTATGCCTCTTAAACATCTGTGACTGGCCCTTTATTACCTTTCCAAAATAGTCCATGCTTGCTGTTGCAGCTGCTTCCTGCAGTGTGAAATGCTGTCTTTTTCTCTATTGCCTGTCCTTCATCAGTACAAGGCTAATACATCCCAGGGCCCACAGTTCTCTGTGAAATCTTTCCTGATTTTGACTCATTAAAAACCTGTTCAGCTTGATGCATACCTACAAACCGTAGACTTGAGAGACAGAGGCAAGAGGAATAAGAGCTCAAAGTTATCTGTCCTCTCCTACCTATGGAGACCAGAGCCTGCCTGAGCTGGATGAGACTCTCTAACAATATACTTGCTCATTCTGATCACTCTTGCTTGTATTTTCTTGGACATGGTGTGATTCTGCATTGCATCTTAAGGTCACTGATTACATTAAGTGCTAACTAGCACCCCAAAGCTTGCCATTTGGAGGACACACTGTTTGAATATTAATTATTTAAGTTAATATTGAAACAAAAACTATGAAGGAAAATTGGGTTCGGTGGGGTTGTGTAAGACCAAGCTTGTCCCCAGGTAGCCTTCCTGGAAACAGAAAAGCCAAACTGAACCCTGAAGGGTTAGCAGCTCAGGCAAGAATGGTAGAAAGAGGCATGTGGGCTGTGGGGAGGGAGGGTCCTGCAGCCTGAGGAAGGGAGAGCTACTGAGCCCAAGACTCCCACTTGAAAATATCAAACAAACAAGAGGAAGGCAGAGGCCGGATCACACAGGGCCTTTGTCCTGTGCTAGCTTGTAAGCGCGCAGAGCTCAGAACTAGCTGGTTCTAGGGAATGACCAGTTTTTGAAGCTTTGACCTCTGCTGTCACTCAGTCTGACAAAAGCCTTTATGTGCTAAATAGAATAACCTTTCATTATGATCCCTGGCATCGCTCAAGGATATAAAGTAAGCTGTTCGAGTTCTCAGCCTTTCATTCATTAATCGAAAAAGCAATAAATCTGTCAGAAATGCTTAAAAAGATACTCCTGCCCTTAGAGTTTGGAATCCATTAGAGAGACAGCATGCACGTCACTTTTATGCATGCCTTTATGTTAGCTGAACGCTAACATCTGCATTTTAGTTCAGTTCCAGGGACTTGAAACTAGTAGTCTATCTAGTTCTGATCAGCAGTCCATGGGCTGCAAATAATGGGTGCTGTCGTAGCAGCATGAAGTCATCACAATGCAGAGGTGCTGCTGCACTGGGCAGAGTCTGCCTCCCCTGCTCAGCTCTTCTCTGCCATCTTCCCGAGTGCTGTGTCCTACTCATGGCCAACTTCCACAGCCTCAACATCTCTTCACAGTGGGGCCTTTTCTTGGCTGGAAGATGGTCTCCAGGCGACTTTCCTGCCCTGTCATTGCTAGAATTGGTTTGAGTCAATCTGCTTCCAGACCAATCTCTAGCAGAGTGACAGGATGCCTGGGTCTGCTTACAATCATTGAGGATGTGGCCCTTAAGAACACAGCCTTGTCACACCTTTGGTCCCAGCGCTTGGGATCACACACTTTTAATCCCAGTACTGGGGAGGTGGAGACAGGATTGATGGTTGGGTGGAGAGGAAATTAAGTCTGGAGGAAACAGCATCTTAGGCTGAGGGCTTGTAGAGACAGGATACCCCCTTCAGTCTGAGGATTTCATAGAGGTAAGAACTAGAGGCTGGCTGCTCTGCTTCTCTGATCTTTCGGCTTTTACCTCCTGGGGGGAATAAAGAACACAGCCTTTAGAGGAAACAGGCTAGGGGCTGTCAGTTGAGTAAACAGTCCCGCATATTCTCACAGCAGTTACTCTTTCCATCTCTTTTCTTCTAGCCTTGGGTCAAGTCTGGCACTCAGCAATGCTTAATGCCCACATGCATTTGATTCTGAATAAAAAGGATGTATGGTATTGAGTGCCTGGCGTGCTACTGACATGTAGATGGGAAGAGGCAAGCTCAGGCCCCTGGCTTCCTGGAGCAAATCAGACAAATGTGTGATGAAATGTTGCTCCCAATGAGCGCTTGTTTTCATACTAAATGAGGGGAGACTGCTGTTACTGTGAGAACAGCTGGTAAGGCCAGCAAGTAAGCTGCAGATGTTTTCGTGGCCTGCTCACTAGGTCATGGTAGTGAATGGTATTTAAACACTATGTAGTGTTCTTCCAGGAGGTGTATTTGTATTTCACATCAGTGTATTGCCGTAGGAAGAGTTGGCAGGTTCACCTGATTTGTAAAGCATTGTGTGGTACTGTTCAAACAGAAACTCAGCTAATCGCTGAACTACCTTGCAGGGGCTGAGATCTCCCACATAGCTGTGCTTGTGGCTCCCTGGGAATGTGATGGGTTTTCTGGATAAAGGTTTCTTTAACCGTGAAACTTAACTGCATCCATGTCTATACATGGGGTAGAGGTAGGCTCATGGGCCAGAGAGGGATGGCAGCTTTTGAAATAACACGGTTCGGGTTCTCTTGTAGCTGCATGTTGCTGAGCATCCTGCGGGACATCTCGTTCTCAAATGGTTAATAGAGCAAGATAAAAAGAGGAAAGAAAATGGAAGAGAAGGTAGGGTGTGTGGCTTATCTTTGGAATTTCTGCATTTCTGGACTTTATACTGGTCATTTAGGTCCCGTTGGGATTTGCTAAGTGTGTGAAAATCAAGCCTGTGAGTAGGTAATGATTAAATGTCAAGGGCTGGGCTGCAGCGCATTGGTGGACTGCTTTCCAGCCATACTGTTTGAACTGTTACAGCGGCTGAAAGGGGTGGCAGGTTATGAATTTGTTTTTGAGACCACCTATAGTGCTGTGGCTGGCTGGGCCATTCGTGTAGGGCAGCACCATCATAAGGTCATGGCTTGGGACTGTTTTTAGCTCCAGTTTTTAGATAAGATGCTTCTAGTATTCAAGTATAATATGGAGTTGAAGCAACCCTTTCATTATTAAAAACAAAAAAAAAGTCTATGCATAGTTTAAATGAGTTAGACAAGTTGTTAGTGTCCAAAGAATTTCCTAATGATTTTCCATAATAAAAATGCTAGAAGTCCTCAAAGATGGCTGTTGGCTTGGAGTGGTTGTCACTTTCAAGCACAAATGAGTGTGTCTGTCTGTCTGGTTTTGTATTGCTGTGTGACAAACTACCTCAGAGCTTAGTGGGTCTCTGAGCAGTCATTTGGGGTTTGGTGGAGCTTGCCTCTGTCTGCCTTTCAGGGCAAACAGTTGGATGTCGGAGCATAGCACTGTGACCATAGCTCACTCACAAAATGGTCAGTCTTAGCTTGGAGCCAGCAGCATCACTTCCTCTTTTTTAATTTTTTGTTTGTAGCACATGTGTGTGTGAGTATAGAAATGTGTGTGTCATGGCACGTGTGGTGGTCAGGTGAGGCATCTGGCCATTGTGCTTCTAGGGATTCTCCTGTTTCTACCTCTCATCTCACTGAGGAACATTGAAAGTATAGGAGTGAGTATATAATAACCTCCTCCGCATTACATAGGTTCTAGGAATTTGAGCTCAGGTTCTCAATGCTTATGCAGTAAGTGCTGTGCCTGCTGATTGGGTCTTAGACTGAGCATCCCAAGGAAGCAATGCACACGTATGCTTATGCCTCATGGTTAATCCTCAAAAGTCAGCCCGTGTTACTTTTACCATGTTCTCTCGGTCTGGACAGTGAGGCTACCTGAGTCATTGGAAGACTTAGAGTCCACCCTTCATGGGGGACTGGTAGCATCTAGAAATAAGTGCACACAGTGTAGAACATGTTTCGGTCACCTCACTGGCTGATTGCTGCCCCTGTTTACCGTGAAGAGCTAGGTGGGCTCCATGAGTATCTTTGGCTTCATTATTATGCATGGTACCTACTTGGGATTTTTGCCTTCAACATAGGCCATCTTTTCCTCCATCAGTCACTAGAACTGCCTGAGAGTGAGTTGCACATAGAACACACAGTGAATAAGATGCTTGCCTCAGACTTTAGAGCCAGGACCACAGGCATAATTAATTATTTTTGATATACGGCCATGCAAGCATCATAGAGAGAAATTGCCATGACTAACCCACATGGTCATTCTTTAGCCACTAAACACATTATCGGTTCCTTCCAGTTAAACTTTTCTACATCAGGGGGACCGATTTTGGCCACATGTGAAGTAGCACTGTCAAACATTTACTTCTGAGTAGGTCATGGTTGAATCATTAAATATTACAAAGAAATGTAGATGTGACCAAATAAGCTTTTTAAAATAATTTGCTTTTTCTTGGGTAATTACTGCCAAAAATTCGCATCAGAATTACAAAATTATACTAAATCTGTGCTAGCATTTTAGTGGTTTTAGGTGAGGGTTATCTTTAACTTTTCTGCTGAAACATTTGCAACTTAGGGCATTGAGATGCGGGTTGGGAGTGTGCATGTCCTCACTGAGTCCCTGTCTATGTTGCAGGCTGTTTTGCAAAGACCCTTGTAGAGCACGTTGGCATGAAGAACCTCAAGTCCTGGGCCAGCATCAACCGAGGTGCTATTATTCTTTCCAGGTCAGTGGGTAGCGCGTGCAGCACACACGCACACTCCTTTACCTTTGCTTCTTGTTCTAGGATTTACTCCCAATAATGTGGGACTGTCCATCACTCATGGTCTAGACAAATATTCAAAAGTTCATGTAGGGGCTGGTGAGACACAGCCATTTGCCACCAAGTTTGACTACCAGAATTGCATCTCCGAGACCCACAAGACAGGAGAGGAATACGCCCCGAGTAGTCAGTCCCTGTACACACAGTGTGGCAAGGAGCCTTGTGCGCTCACACACAGACAGTAAACAGACATAACTTAAAACAAATGTAGCTCTTCAGTCCTCAGATTTAACTCATCTTTTGAGTGTCAGAGAGCACAGAATTTTGGCATTTACAGTGTACATAGTTTCATTAGATTTATAGTTTTGACAAAACACACATTTTCTCTTAATGAGTAAGTTATATGCCTTTGGAAACGGTCGCAAAGCTCTTTAAGTCACGCCGAACTATAGTGTTGTTTTTTTCATTGTCTTTAGGGATTCCAGAATTGGTAAAGGGTCTGTGAAATGAGATATGTAATAGAGACCTTGCTTCAGATTGCTCTCTGGGCAAGGCTATGTTGAGTTTAAATGTCCAGGTCATTGTTAAAAATGCCTGTCTTATAACATCTGTGTGCTGTTTGAATTAGCTGCTGTTTTTCTTCTACTGTGTTGCTGCCCTAGTTTGATTCTCAGTTATTAAACTGGCCAAAAGCAGCTTCAAGGGGAAAGGGTTTATTTCACCTTACAACTCCCGTCCATCACTGAGGAAAGTCAGGGCGAAAGCTCAAGGAGGGACCTGGAGCAGAGACCATGGACAAATGCTGCTTGCCAGTCTGCTCCCAGTGCCTTCTACTACCTTTCTAACTCAGCCCGCCTGCCTGGCACAGTTGCTGGGCCCTCCTCTGTAATTAACAGTTAAGAAAATGCCCCCATGGCCAGTCTGATGGAGCCAGTTCCTCAATAAGGTTTCTTTTTCCCCCTGGTAACTCTATAGTTTGCATCAAATTGACAGAACTAACCAGCACGTCTGCTAACAATAAGAAAACAGAATCTGCAGTTTGAAGCTTCCACCTTCTTTGTGGAACTGTGCACTATATTGTGTGGTTTGTAAGCAATAGGTTAAAAACTCCAGCATACCATTGGTCTGCTGTACATAGCGAGAATTCATTTTTAGGTCTCTCAGGGTCTTCGACTGCATGGGTACTACATGCAGATCAGGCTCTCTGTTTTTAGAGAAGTGAGTTCATATTGCAGTGGATGTTAGAGAGCCAGAGCCCGTTTGCTGTGACAGGAAGTTTTTTGTCTTGCATCCCTTTACCAGGCGTTCGGAATGTTAGCACCTACTGACATGCTTTCATTCTGCTCAGTGATGCCATGAAATGAGTGTGTAAAGAGTGCTCATTGGTCAGCACTCCCGTGGGTTCATCGCAGACAGAAGAATGATCCAGTGTGCTTCTTGCGGAGCTCTGCCTGGAGACACATGCAGTGTCGGACGTTCCAAACAGAGCTTGAACTGTTCTGTGGCTTCAAATGCAACCATCTTAATTTGCTGGATACTTGAATAGCGATTGTTTGCCAAACTCTCTGCCTGTTTGCATTGTAGTTGAAGTGTGTGTTTTCTTTGGGGAATATATAATGCTGGGTTTGTCTGTTCACCACAGTCATTATTGAGTTATGGAAGGAGCATTTTGGTTGGAAAGAGGAAAAAGCTTTGTATGCTGGCTGAGAAATAACTCTGTAGAGTTCTCTAGCACCTAAGAACTTAGGACCTAGTTAGTCTATCTCAGCTCCTGCCTACTGTGTGACTTGGGAAATCATTGAGCTTTGCTGGGTTTTCTTGCTTATAAGACAAAAAGTTAATGATAATCTTAAATTTATTAAGAAAGCAAGGCATGTAGATGCATATCACTGTGTCTGTGTTTAGCTGCTAACTTGTACTGATATTATGTACTATATGGCCGTTTAGCCAAGGTGTTAACATAAAGACAAGTGACAGATCTATTTCAGGGCACTTTAGCTGTAGGATGCTTCTTGGTGCTGCTCACACACCTTCCTCTTTGTGGACATAATGGAAGTCACTGGCACTAGGGACTTTTGAAAATGTCAAGTAATCTCTTTCTAGATTGTTTCAGAGGTTGACATTTAAATGTGGTCCTAAAGAACTTGGGCCTGGTGGCCCGCAGTCTGGTGCCTGTAGCCCAGCTTTGTTTAATGGCTCATATTATTGAATATTTACTAAGTATCAAGCTCTACCTTAAAAAGCAGCCTTCTGGGAACTGGGGGCCTGCCTCAGTGGCTGAGCATGGGCTTAGCCTAAGTGCGGCTCAGTGACTGGATGTGGGCTTGCTGTGAGTATGGCTTAGTGGTGAGTGTAGGCTTAGCATGAGTGTGGCTCAGTCTTGGGTGTGGGATAGCAGGAGTGCTGCTCAGTCTTGAGTGTGGGAGAGGGGGAGTGCGGCTCAGTCTTGGGTGTGGGATAGCAGGAGTGTGGCTCAGTCTTGGGTGTGGGATAGGGGGAGTGCAGCTCAGTCTTGAGTGTGGGATGGGGGAGTGCGGCTCAGTCTTGAGTGTGGCCTTAGTGTTAGTGTGTCTTAGCGTGTTGAGTGTGGGCTTAGTGTGAGTGTGGCTTAGCTTGGCACCAGAGTGCAGCCTTGAAATGCACATTGTCAGTGGTGGAATTTGTACCCAGTGTGTGCAAGAACCTGGATGAGAAGGTGAGTTGTGTCTCCTGTTCTCCAGACCAGGAGACTGAGTCGTAGACAGTCAGCATGCTCTGGGTTGTGTGGTTAGTAAAGCCCTTCACTTCCACAGCATAGCGTGTGTGTTGTAGGTGCGGAGTTCAGTGACGTGGTCACTAACCCTCGCTCTCTTCCGTGATTTGCCCGCCACATGTGTTCACTGGGGTGAGTTCACAGCATTCCTTGGCTGTCTCTATGCCTGTGGCGCTGTAGTGTCAGCAAGCGAATAAAGCCTATGGTCTCGCTTTTCAGCAGTTGCCCAGGTAGGACGGTAGCCTGCTCTGAGCCACGAGATACCCATGACCAAGGCAGCTAATAAAAGAAAAGTTTCTGGGGCAGTGGGGCTTGTTTATAGTTTCAGGAGGTAAGTCGGTGAGCACCATGGCAGTAGAGGGGCAGATGGGACACTGGAGCAATAGCTGAGCGCTTACTTCTGTTCCGGAAGCAGGAGGCAGAGAGATTGAGCAAGTTTGGGTCTGGTGTGTGCTTTTGAAACCCCAAAGGTCACACATCCTGATCCTTCCCAAACAGTTCCACCAACTGGGATCCAAACTTTGAAATATATGAGCCTGTGGGGTCCATTCTCATTCAGACCACCACACCTGCCAAACCATTTAAGGCAGCTGTAAGGAAGTGAATGGCTTCTTGTCTCGGTGACTCCACCCACAAGATTATAAAGCCTTTCCGTAGTTTAAGAATGTAGTCTGTTGGCTCTCATTTATTTGGTGAATTTTAATTTTTTTCAACTCCATTTCTTTGTTAGTTGTTAGGTGTGGGTATCTGCACGTACATACATGCCACAGCACACATGTCCTGGTCAGGGAGCAAATTGCAGGAGTCAGTTCTCTTTCTGCCTTCTGGTTCCAGAGATGGAGCTCAGGTCCTCGGGACTGGTAAGAAGCGGGAGCCTCTACCTGCTGGGTCATCTCACTGGGCTCATCCAATGAATTTTAAAAAATCAGTGTAAAACACTGTGTGTAGATCACTGCAGGAGATGACCGAACAATGGCTTGGTTACGCTGTCCATATGGTGGTGTTGCAGGTTCAGCACTTTGATGACATTTAATTTTGTCAAACCTTTTCCTTTGTCTAGCCTTCTTCAGAGCTGTGACCAGGAAGTTGTAAACAAAGTCAAAGCTGGACTCAAAAGCCTGATTCCAACGTTGGAAAAAAACAAAAGCACTAGCAGAGGAGTGGAAACTCTGCTGGAGAAGCTGACCGCATAGGCGTGCTGGATGAGCAAGCTGGGGCCCGCTTCCATGGAGAAGGGCAGATCCCCATACTCATAACTGGACACTCTGTACATGCATTCTTTGTTAAAAGACCTATTTATATAAAATTGTTTCTGAAAGAGACTTTTTGTTTGACACCAGCTGTGTCATCCGTCAGGCCGAGTACTGCCCAGATCACGTTGTGGCGGTGTGACTTTAGACTGCTGTGATTGATGGGCCTGGGTGTGTGCGGTGTGCTTGAATGGCTTGACTTAGGAGAGGAGCCAGCTGCAGTCTGAGAAGGCTTCCTGGAAAAGGTGGACTTTTGAGGACCTCTTTGACGAAAGAAGGAAGGGCATGAGAAAGCTCCGTGGTTGTGTGTGGCGGGAACAGTAATGTGAACTGCCCTTGGCGGCAGCCTGTGCCTGGGAACAGCTTCTCTGGCTGCTGTGCAGACTGAGTTCAGGCGGGTTACCTTTGAAAGCTGCTCTGGTAAGTTCAGGGGGCCGTGTGCTAAAGGAATTAGACCTTGGATCATTGCTAAGGTCGAGGTCTCTGGGAAAGTCTTACCTCTGGATTTCGGCCTACAGAGTAAATACCTTGTGGTGGGGCATTCTCCCTTGGGGCAGCCCCTAAAATATCATAGGCCTTAGGGTGAGTAAGGGCTAGTGTGCTAGAGTGTAGGGGGGGGGGGTCAGCTGGCTGTCGGCAGTGAGGCTGGAGAAGGGCTGTAGACCGCTGAGGCTCGTGTAGCCGGCATTACAGTCCAGAGCCTCGTCCTTCCTCCAGATGGTCTGATGGGTAGTTATGTCCGCTGGGGAGCTGGCTGTGCCATACCTGCCCCTACTTCAGGGTCCCAGGACTACTAGTGTGGCATCTGGGACTCTCCTGCTGAGATAGATTAAGGTATTTCCAAAGGCTTAGCACCTGTCGCAACTAGTTGGATTCTCAGGGCATCTGAGCATGGACTGAGAAGGTAAATGGGGAAAAGACAGTTTGATTTTACTTCTGTCTGATTAATATAGCATTGTTGGATTTGAGTTCTCTATAGAAAGGGCCACTCAGAGAGATGGAGATGCTCCATGTTTCATCCTTAGAAGTGAAAAGATAAGTACATGTGTAATTTTAAAAAGCATTTTTGTGCAGCTTGTAACAAAAACAGCCATCTCCTAAGCCCCAAACTCACACTTCTCATAATAACTTGCAATCTTAGCTCTGGCAGATTCTAAATATGCTTTCTATTATGTATTTGAATATATACATGTTATATACTTATGACATCATACTGCAGAAAATACACGCTGTGAACTTCCATTCCCCTTCCCTCCTCACCCCAGTGCAGCTGCATCCGATACAAGGGTTCTACATAGATTGTTGAGTTGGATTATGACATATGGAGCTGCTATTTTATACTCGCTGCCATTTTACTTTTCCTGTAATTAGTCACTGTCAGATTTATTTCATTTCCTTGGGTTTTTACATCCCTATTACCAGATACCCTCCCCCAAAACTTCTCACCAGAATCCCTTACATCTCTCCCTCTCCTCTCCTCTCTTCTCTTCGTTGCCTTACCACCTCCCCCACAGCCATTTTCCTCTTCTGTTTGTGTGGTGTGGCTCCCAGAGGTTGCTCTGGTGACAACCTGGGGTGCTCCAACAGTGCCTCCTATGGGTCACAGGTGTGTATTACTCATCCAGCCACATGCATATCTCCTCTGAGTCCCGGGCACAAGAGCAGGGGTAGGCTTAGCACAGAGTCCAGCCGAGTAATCTTGGAAGAAAGGTGAATTTGCTGGGAACAGTTTTTGAGAACCCAGGTCTCCAATCCTGCTGCCTGGCAGCTGTGGTCACAAGGGCAAAGGTGTTTGGAGAGTGCTGTCTTGCCACTATAAGACAGATAGCTGACATGCCGAGCATGGCTGAGCAAGAAGTAAAAGGAGTTGAGAACTGTCGTGGTATTGAGCTGCTAAGTGAAATGGGGCTAATTAGCCTTGAACTCCTGATGGCACGGAAAAGCATCCCTCCATTTTCATTTGCATCCATTTGATTGATTGCACATTGGATACCTTTAGAGAAATTCACAGCCCATTGAGCTAGCCTGGCTCAAGATACCATTAGCCTCGCACACTGCCCAACACTTAAGGTCAGTGAGCAGTCCCATCTGGACGGCCTTCTGGCTTTCTGCGTGTCCTGTGGAATTGCATGCCCACTGCTGTCATCCTGTACCTTCATCTCCTGTGGAAAGCCCATTGCTCTTATTCCTTGCTGAACACTCTTACCTGAGTGAGTCCCAGCCTCTAATCGGGTTCCTGTTGACGTCAAAAGAGTGCTGGCAAGTCTGAAGCCTTTAGACAGTTTAGCTGGGTGTAGAAAACCAACTTCCACAGATTATCTCCAGAGAGTCACTGGAGCATGACTGAATCAATCTCTCTCTCTCTCTCTCTCTCTCTCTCTCTCACACACACACACACGTTCTTCCCTCATTCCCTCAGGAAAGACGTTAGGACCCAGCAACAGACACATGTAGATTTTTAAGTTAAATCTTGCAGAAGTGTGAATATATATGTTCAGAATGATGGTTGAGTAGAACACAAGGAAGGCTGATTTGTCTGAGCAAGCCTGTAATCCCAGCCCTTGAGAGGCTTTGGCAGGGGCATCATGAATTTGAAGCCAGCCTAGGCAAAAATGAATAAGAAAAAAGTAAGAAAACACAACGTCTTAGAGCATCTGTTTGTATGGAGCCAATTGTAGGATTTTTTTTTTTTGTACATTTGGAAAATGTGTCTGTCTTACCTCCTCTGCCTAAGGCACTTTCTGGTTGATTTAATAAAGAGCTGAATGGCCAGTAGTTATGCAGGAGAGGATAGGCGGGACATCAGGGGAGATAGAGGAACTCTGTGGAAGAGTCAGAGGAGGGGGATTCAGCAGCAAGACACCAAGGAAGTCAGACATACAGTATGGAGGAAAGGTAAGGGGCCACATGGCAGAACATAGATTAATATAAATGGGTTAATTTAAGTTATAAAAGCTACTTGGGAATAAGCCTAAGCTAATGGCAAAGCTTTCATAAATAGTAATAAGTCCGTGTCATTGTTTGGGAGTTGGCAGTCCAAAGAAAGTCCAGTTACACCGAACTAAGCAATAAGCTCTGCCACTTGGAGCTGGCAGTGTAGTTCTGCAGCAGAGAACTTGCCTAGCATGCAGCAGGCCATGAGTTCCGTTCCCTGCTGCAGCCCAAGAAAGAAAAATCAAGACATGGTCAATGCTTAGGGATGCTGCTTAGCCAGGGTCATACATACCATGCTCTCCGTCATTGTTTCTAAATTTGAGACACCACCTAAGCGCCCCAAATCCCTTAGCCTCTGTTGCAAAGAACATAGCATCCTAAATGAGGTGGATTGTTAGCCTGGGCATGACTGTGGGTCTCAGCCCCATGGAGATTGGCTAAACTTGCCTCCTTGTTCTGCTGTATGCGATAACCCCACCTTCCTGTTCACCTGTGCATAATAAGCACGTGGCTTCTCCATCGGAGAGTCCCGGCCATCTGGATCCCAGCTTTTCTGTGTGTCTGTCTTGTCTTTCCTTCCCACCCGGGTCAGGTTTCCAGGACCTAGCTGCACAGAGCAAAGCCCTGTTTCTGGAGGAATTCTGTAGGTTTTCCCATGAGTCAGCTCGCCCAGGAGATGCAGCGTGCTATTTGTCTTGTCTGCATCTTACGGGTGGTGTCAAGCGGCTCCTCTGCATTCGCTACCCAGCAAACAGCGCAGTGCACATGACTGTAGCCAATCAGTTCCTTCGAAGGCATTGCTGCCGCCTCTACTCTGAGAGCTGTCAAAGAATGGTGCTTTGAACTCTTCCTAAAAAGAAAAATGTCTCACTCATTTATAATATTTTATCCAACTGAAGCATTCTTGTAAGCTGTCGATGGATAGAGCTGCAAAGATGTGGGAATCAAGACATTTTGGCCTGTACTCTGTTCTTAATTATATCTTGGGAAAACAAGGTTGTCTCTAACTCCTTGCGTGTTGACCGCTTGGGTGGGAGGTGATAGCCGGCTGCTAAGGTCATGAGAATCATCTGACTCTGCTCGTAATGACTACAATTAAGTATAATGAATAATTTATTTTAAATCACTTCCAGATGCTTCAAAACAGACTCTCCTTTTAAATAGAACTTGTCTTGTGCTTAAAGTTCATATTCCTAGCCCTGCCCATCATCTGCCAGTGAATACAGATGTGAGGTTGCTTCTTCAGCAGGGGGCAAGGGTCTCAAGGCCAGCGTCACAGTAGGACCCTGTTCTCTGGGACTCATTCGTCCGCATCACCCGTCCTGCCATTTATATTTCAGTATCTAAGCCAATAAACACGGGTCTACTGAAAACAACAGCCTTCTGGGCACATGTGTTTGTCTGTCTGGCACCATGCCAGCAGTTGAGTTTCATGGTCATCTTGGTGGAAAAGAGAAGGCCCTCCTCAACCTAGGAACCGTGACCACAGGTCCCCAAATTGATTCTTTGGGGGAACGGTGATTGGTTAATGGACCAAGCCCTCGGCTTAATTAATAGCGTGCAGTCAGAATCCAGAACACTGGAGTTCTTCAGCTTCTGTGTGCAAAGTAGTGAAAGATGCCCTCTCCTTGGAATCCCGGGCTCCTTGGTCCCTTGACTGCAGCTGCTGGCATGGGTATTGCCATATCCTATCACTTCCATTCTGCACGCCTTAAAATTATGCCTTGGCTCATCTTCCGGTTTGTGTCTCCACGGGAATGTATTAATATGATCGGTGCTTGTAAGGCGCTTATTTTTTTCTGGTGATGATGTAAGATAACTGAGTCCTGGGCTCAAGGTGTGTTCGTAAGGCACAGTATTCTGCCATTCCCTGTCTTCTCTGCAGCGGTCTGGTTTGTTTTTCTGTAATAGCCTTTCGGTCCTTGAAATCTTTATTGCTAGACCTTGCTAGGGGTTAGCAGGGTGAGAAGGCATGTCTTCTGGAACATATTTGCACACAGGTCACACCCCTTCGGAAGATGAAAACCAGGTGAAGTGAGAAGCAATGAAGGATGTTGTCTGGGAGGGAGCGCCAGCCTGGAACCACTCCTGACTGAAGCCTAGCCTTGCCGTCTGGTTGACTGTCGGAAGTTTGCA